AGCCGAGGAGGCCGGTGCCGCCCAGAGGAAACGCAAGAAGCGAGAGGAGCCTGCGGGGCGGGGGGCGAGCGGGCTGGGAGCAGCCTCCAGCGGGGTCTGCCTCCTCCGCGGTGGTGGCTTCTTTAAAAGACAAACAAAGGCGAGGATGCGGAGGCCGGGAAGCCGGAGATGGGGAAAGCTGTTGCCATAAAAGAAAGCGAGAGATTCGGAGAGGAAGAGCGCGCAGAGTGCCAGACAGAGAAGCCGGGAGAGGAATTCAATGCCGTGCGCGCAGCCATAAAAGAATATGACCGCTATAAAAGTTTATAGCGTATAAATTTCTGAAGGTTAAGAAACTAAGCAGCAGCAAAGCAAACAGTGAGGGGAAACTTTCCGGAGCTGAGAGAGCCGCAGCTGGGCCTGGGCTCGGGCCTGGCAGGGGTGGGGGGATGGGAGGGGGGACAAGGGGGTGACCAGCTCCCAAGCCCCCACTTTCCCCGCCCAGTACCGGGTTTGAGGTTTCCGGGGCCCCAAGGGGCAAAGAGGAGAGAAGAGGGAAGGGAGAGAGAAAAACACTTTGTTGTCACCAATGCTTTAGAGAACGCAATTGGAACTCTTGTCTTTGTTCTTCACTGCCCCCCCCCCTCCCCGAATCGGACGTCATTACGGGCTATAAACGGCTCACTGCTCGGCGGTCTCCACCAGAATTTCTGGTCTTGGAATCCGGGACTGGTGTCAGCCGTGGCTTTTATTTTTTTCTTCCCCACCCCCTCACCCTGTTTTTTGGTTTGTTTGTTTTCAGCTTATCTGCACAATTCGATGAACCCTTTCCTGATTTCCGGTGCCCTTTCTCTCCCCCTTTTCTGCTAAGAACGAAAGTTTCTCCTCGCTTCTCGCCAGGGTGGCTGGCTCTCGGAGAAACCAGCCAAGCCGGTGGCGACGGCGCCTTTTCTCAGGGTGGCCGCTAGATGGCAGCCTTGCTCCACGCGAAAATCCCCGGTGCGGCGGCTGCGGGCGCTGGTGGCTGCACTTCGCACCTTTGGTGGGCCCTGAATCTACGAACTGAGCGCTGCGAAAAGTCATGAATAATTTGTGCGTAATAAAAATATAGGGTTCATTATGGCCGTTTCCCCCATTTTATAGATTTCAGATGTATTGATGTTGCCCCCCCCCTTAAATAGTCAATTTTACGCATTTCCCCCAGGAGGAGGGCTCAGCGCGTCTCATCCCCCCAGTTTCTGTGTTCTGTGGGGGCAACACACGCAAATAGAACGGGGAATAGTCATAATAGTAATAGTAATAGATTTTATAGATTTCAGATGTATTGATGTTGCCCCCCCCTCAAATAGTCAATTTTACGCAGTTCCCCCAGGAGGAGGGCTCAGCGCTTCTCATCCCCCCAGTTTCTGTGTTCTGTGGGGACAACACACGCAAATAGAACGGGGAATAGTAATAATAGTAATAGTAATAATAATAATAATAATAATAGGAATAATGGGTCTAAATAAAAGAGGAGAATTGGTCCGGGAAAACGCGTTTTCCGGGGAGGGGAGCAACAGGAATGTCTGCGGATGCGGGTGAGCAAGTCAGGTGAGAGGGGGGAGCCGGCAGAAGAAGGTCAGATGGAGAGGAAGCTACGGGAAATCTGCCGCCAGATCCGCAGGAGAGGGACCTGGGTGAGCTAGCCCGGGAGGTGGCGGGTAGGGGATGGGGGGCAGTTTTTTTGGGAGAGAAATGGATTCGTGGCTCTGGTGGAATTGGAGGTGCCCATAGCCGGCGAGGTGGGCTCCGCATGGACTGAGGCTCCAAGAGCCTTTGTAAGTGTCGGGGTCTGGGCTGGGCTCGCGCCGGGCCAAGCCGGGAGCAGGGCAGGGGTTCCCCGGAACGGCGAGGTGCGGAAGGCTGCCTGGTTTCGCCCGGAA